GGGGGGGGGGGGGGGAGATCACTCCCTAGACCCCTCCTGGGTGGGGTGCTGCAGGGTTCTACTCTTTCCCCCCTCATTTTCAACATCTACATGAAACCACAGGGTGAAATCATCCCTAGTTTGGGGTTCGGTAACATCAGTACACTGACAATACTCCACAATATCTTTCCACCCTGGGACAGCCAAGTGAGGCTGCTGAGGTTCTGAGCCAGTGCCTGAAAGTTGTGTGAATTTGGATGGGGAGGAACTGCCTCCAGCTCAGTCCTACCAAGACCACGTGGCTGTGGGTATTTGGGCCACCCAGAGCTTTGGCCTTGGATGGGGTTGCACTTCCCCATTCAAAGGCATTGCACAATCTGGGGGCTCTCCTGGATTCTTCACTCCTGCTGGAAGAACAAGTGGCAGCTGTGGCCAGGAATACCTTTGCACAACCATCTGGTGTGCCAGTTGCACCCTTTCCTGGACTGGGGGGCCCTTCAGACAGCCACTCACAGCCTGGTTACCTCGCAGCTTGACTACTGCAATGTGCTTTATATGGAGATGCCTTTGAAGGCCACCTGGAAGTCCAATTGCTCCAGCACACAGCAGAGCAGGTAGTGATGGCCATGCCTCAATATACCCATATAACACCTCTGCTTCTCAAGCCGCACTTCTGAATACTGCAGGGACTAGTCCGGGAAATCACCAGGAGGCAATGCTTACTCGAGGAGGAGGAGGAGGAGGAGGAGTCTTCCATTTGCTATGTGCTGTTTCTTTTTAATGGGCCAGCCAATGGAATTGTTATTGCAAATATCCCTCTACAGTCTTTAACAAAATTAGCACCATTTCTTGACTGTTTCAACTCTTCCAAATAATGGAAATGAAACCTTAAATTATACAGATAACTGAATTTCTTCAGGAAGCTTGAACTGCAGAGAATTCTTTGTATTTTTAAAATACTCCTGGTGACTGCCTGGACTAAGCCCTGTGATATTCAGAAGTGGTTTTTCCTTGTCTTCTTCCTAGGGCTGAGAGAGTAAACCTCCCAGCATCTGTTTTTCTCATTTCTTTATCTTTCTGTTTCAGTTTCTGCCCACACTTTTTCCTCTCTTTCCCTGTTTGTAATTCTCATCTTACTTCTCCCTCACACAGCCCTCTAGTTTTCAATCCCTCTCCTTCTCTCCAGGACACAGAGCACTTGTTTAATTAGAGCAACTTGAGTCTGCGCTGATTTCCCAAGCTGTTGCTACAATGTGTGACCTTTTGCCTAATTGGCCACTGGTACCATGCTTAAAAGAAAATAGGGTGAATTAATTGGTATTCCCTTCTGTGTCCAACATTGAATGCCTCACAAAAAGATGTTATTTGGGATGCAAACAAAGTTGAAACAGGAAGACCTGTTCATGCGAACGTAACAGTTGTTTAAATGTTTCCTTCATCCTTTAGGTTCTAGGTGGCATATACAAGGTTCCTGACAGTCTTCCTCCAGACTTTTTGTCAAACCCCAAATCTCTTAAGCTTCATAAAGTGCCTCAGATTGTACCATATGCCTAAAAATGGCTGCCTAATACATGGAATAATTTATTATAATTTACAAAAGAGAAACAAAACACAGATATGCAGGAAATAGCTGAAGAGTGACCTTCAAGACAGTGATATTTGCTCAGCGTATTACTAAAGCTGGAGATCTCTCTCTCTCTCTCTCTCTCTCACACACACACACACACACAGAGAGAAGAATTAAA